ACTAACTACTACGTACACTACACTACTACGTACTACGTACTACTACTACACACACTACACACACACACACACACACACACACACACACACACACACACACACACACACACGACACGACACACACACTACTACTACTCTCTCTCTACACTACACACACACACACACACACACACACACACACACACACACACACACACACACACACACACACACACACACACACACACACACACACACACACACACACACACACACACACACACAGACCACTCACTTCCTGCTGGTTCATGGATCAGATATGTGGAAGACCAAAAGAACTCCATTTAAGGATCTATTCATGAATTATAAGTTATACAATTGGGAGGATAAGGAGGAAAATGTGATCAATCCAGATATATGGATCATATTCACTATGAAATGAGATAGACTAAAAACACTCAATTTAAGGATGTATTCCTGAGATATAAGCTATAACATGTGGAAAAACATGAATAAATTTGACCCTGTTGAGAAAGTTATGCAACTACAGTACAGCTGACAGCTCTCCAGATATATGGGTATTCACTATGAGATGATATATAACAGCATATTTCAAACACATGAGCACATACTACATTTTTAAAAAGCCGGAATAAAATCAGGCTCATGAATCAGACATGGCACTTAATTTAAGAATACATTCCTGAGATGTAAGTTGTAAAATGTGGATGATAAGAAGAAAAACACGAATAAATCTGTGTTAGCTCTACATATGGGTATTCATTCACTATGACATTATATCATCAACTACAACCATATGTCTATGTGTGTGATATAATGTCAGATATTCATTATCCTTAGTGTTATAGTCTCTTTTGTATATTTAAATATGGTGTAAATATATAATCGTTTATATTTTTGACCTTCTATTACAACTTATTTCCTCATGTTGTTTATGTTTGCAGAACCATACACCAAAGACAATTCGTTTCTATGTGTAAACCTGTCACTAAACTGGATTCTGATGTTATTGTCAGCAGATTTTAAAATGCAGGCTTTCCTGACGCATTGACATTCAGCCCTGTGCGTAAAAACCACAACAACATACCTGTTTGCAGACCAGTGTGTGTCAGAGCATGGGTAACTCTGCTGTTGTGCTGCAGCCTCACTGCTTCTCTCTGGGATAAAGAAAAATCCAATGCATGTTATGCGGGTCACATGCAGGAGATCCGCTGCGTTCTTCGTGCTGGTTTAACGGTGCAAACACAACCGAGCCTCGATAAGAAGTCTGGGGTAAAAACATGCGTCCACCCGGGTGTTATTGGACCTCCGACATGGGGCTCTGAGCATCTGTTAGCTGCTGCTGCTCCGTCACACAGCCTGTACATTGCATCGGAACTGAAGTGGGACACCGCAAGGCATCATGGACCTAAAGCTGCAACGCACTGGTCACGCAAACCACGCAGGTCCAGTCAGCTGAGTCAGATACAGGATTGTTTTTTCTTCCAAAGGCGATGAAATTGTAACAGATGGGGAAATTGCATATTCATAAAAAGTTAATTTTGAACAATTTTACCAATTATTATAACAATATAGATTAATAACATTAACAAGGCAATCAGAACTAATTGTGTATTTAAGAATAATTTCATCTGAAATATGTATTTAATTTATATATATGTATTATTTTATATGTTTTACTCCTGATGTCAACTTTTTGGGATAAATGTCGTATATTTATTAAAAGAGATGGGCTGACTCAAAATGTTGGGACAATTTTACCAATAATTAAAAGAGTATAGTAGTAATATTACTTCATATGTCTATTCCTGATGTCAACTTTTTTTTATCTCGGCTCAAAGGCAGCCAATTAAATTCAATTAGCTTTGTTGACATGACCATAATGACATACATTATTGCCAAAGCTTTGTACAATTACGACATAAATATAAATACATGTACACAGTGGTGTAAAGTAACTAAGTACATTTACTCATGTACTGTACTTAAGTACAATTTTGAGGGACTTGTACTTTTAGTATTTCCATGTTTTGCTTCTTTATACTACTCCTCTACAGTTCAGAGGTAAATGTGTGTACTTCTACTCCACTACATGTATTTAATACCTTTAGTTACTTTACAGATTTGGATTGATGATGTGAAATATAATCAGCTCTTAAATCAGACTTGAATTAAACCTGGAGTAAATTCCAAATGAAGAAATAAAATGTGATCCTTTTACAACAAACACTATATGAAAGTCCTATAGGTTATGCAGAGAGACATGCTGCTCTTCCACTTTCAAACCCACTCCTAAAGACTCTTCACACACTCCGTCCTCATGTTTCAATGGGAAAACACCACAACAAGGTTGGGTTGTCCCCTCTGGCAGGGAGCCGTGACCACACACACACACACACACACTCTCTCTTTCTTTTCTTTATGAAGCCATTGTTGGATATCTGCCACCTCATACTGTATCACTTCATTATTGGACTGGACCTCTGGACCTCTCTCCAGTGATTGGACCAAAATTGAACTTCCCAGGGAGCTCGGCAAATCGGTTTTAAATGTACACATAGAATATACTACAGTGTACTTTAAAACTCAATAAGGTAACATTCATTAGTCCGTCTAGATACTTAATGTACAACCACTTGCAGTTCCCTTTAAACTGTATCATTCATTGAGCTTGCTGTATTTGTCAAGGACCAGGCGACACGGATACAAGGCAAGGCAAGGCCAGGCAAGTTTATTTATATAGCACCTACAACTACAACAAAATGAACATATTTGACCGTGATTTAATTGTAAAACACGTTTCAAAATGATGCCGAAGTAACAACATACTGATACC